AAGTTTCCTGAATGCATATAATATCTATATCTTCTTTGAATTCTTTGATAAATCCTTTAAACTCCTGCCCATTTGATATTAGACTTCTAGCGTTCCACTGTAAGAAGATCAGTTTGTTCTGTCTTCTGGTCCTCCTGTCTTCCCTTCTGCTCCCAGTCTCTTATTTATGTGCTCCCAGGATATATCCTTTATACCAAAAAAAAAACTCTCTGTCCCTTTCACAATTATTTTGATTTTTTCTGTCTTGTGTTTTACTTGCTCTGTACAATTAATTACATATGCAATGAACAACATGATCTTTTCAACTGTCAGTTCTGTGTCAGGTCCAGTCTGCCTTTGTTCTGGTGTTGCTTTTGGCTGAACTTTACCTGGCACCTCTTTTGGCTTCTTCACTCTCTGAACAGCTTCTGCATAACTTATATTATTATTATTGACTTTGACTTGTTCGATTTCCATTGCTCTTTTCCTGATTTCACAGCCTCCATAAGTTACTCTGTGTTGTCCTCCACAGTTACAACAAGTATCCTTTCCATTTTTACATTCCTCATATCTATGATCCCCTCCGCACTTTGGACATCTTTGTTTCCCCCTATATGCTGCTGCGATATGTCTGTACCTCTGGCATTTATAACACCTGAGAGGAGGAGGGATGTATGGCCTAACAGGGAAGCACATACATCCTACTTTTATCCTTTCAGGAAGAACAGCTGCTTGAAACTCCAACATCACTGACAGACTTTCCATTCTTTCACCTTCAACTGTTCTCATCAGTTGTTTAATTTTGCTGACTTCACCTCCATAAATGCTGTGTCTAAATTTCTCCAGATCTTCTCCCACCGGAATACCTGTGATCACTCCTCTAGCTACCTTAGTCTCTCCCAAAATCTTGATCTCACTCACTACTTTTTTACAAATACTCTGAGTTTTCATTACTTTGTTTTTCTGCTCTTCATTTCTCACTGTTATCAACAGGTTCCCGTCTCTAAGAGTCTTAGCAAGTGTCAGCTCTCCAAACTTCTTCTTTAATTCTTTTGACAGCGCTAATGGACTTAATTGAATTCCTTCATCCTCCTTTCTAAACTTTATGATTAATTTGGATTCTTCCCTAACAACCCTCTTACTAACCACATTGTTTTCCTCCGAACTGTTTTCTTCTAGACTCCTTTTATTACTTTGCAAAGTATCTTCCTTTCTATTTCTCTCTCTTCCTGACAATCTACCACCATGCACCTGTGTCCACTCATCTAACTCCATCTCATCATCCCCTTCACTCTCACCTTGAGACGTCATAGCAGTCCAGTCACAAATTAGTTTTATGCCAACCGCCCAAGACTCTTGTGTTCACAAAAGTCTTCTCCACGTCTGTGTTTATGGTCCGACCGCACTATTCAACTAAAAATTAAAGTTCCGCACATTTCCTACCCGGTTGTAAAATGGTTAAAATCAAACCTCAAGTAATTAAAAAAAAAAAGATTTCACCAAGTTATGGTTTATTACACAAACAAAAACCTAAAATGGAAAAAATTTGTGTATAAAAAAGCCTTGATTTAATTCATTCAACCTTTATTTAGACTGGGACTCGAGACCTGATTTCTTTAACAAAGAGTAATGACAACAGCGGATAACAACGACAACAATAGACAATCATAAAAGAGGCATACAGATTTAATTTTATTTATTTATTTATTTTACAAGTTAAATTTATGGCAACCAAAAGGACAGTCAAAAGGAAAAAGTAGCAAAAAAAACCCAGCTAGATTATAAGGTGGTGTAATAAACTGTAGAATCATTTTTAGCAGCAATGATTTGAAGTCATCATTTTCTATCTTAATTTTTCAGTTTCCCGCATGGTTGTAAAGGAATTTTGTCCCACTCTTCTTTTCAGCATTGGTTCAGTTCATTGATGTTTGCAGACATTTCTGCTCAGGTCTCTGAAGGTCCACTGCAGCATTTTATTCAGATTCGAGTTCTGGCATCAGACTGTTGCACCTGTCCTCTTTTGATCTGTCTTTTTTTCTTTCTGAACCTTTCTGTTGTAGATTAGCTGCTGTGTTTGGGATTATTGGTCTGTTACATCATGACCCAGTTTGGTATAAGCTTCAGCTTGTCGGGAGATGGACTTGACTCTAGAGTCCTTTTTGGTCTACAGATGTGTAATCGGTCAACTCAGTAACTGCAAGGAGCCCAGGTCTAAAACAAGCCCATATACCGGTAATCAGCCCTACAGATGGTATGAGCTGTGCTTTGTTTTTACCAAGCATGGTGCTGTGGAAAATAATAACATTTCTTTGCCAATTGTTCCAGAAGTCTTGTAATTTAATTTACATTTTATAATGTGATAAAGTGGAAATTTGTTAATCTAAATCTTTCTGTTGTGTTCTTTTTACAGAAATTCTTCTGCAACACATTCCAACCAGGCCGTACTTGTTCATCCTTCTGTCTTGTTATGATGTTTAGTCTTTAAACTAAAGGTTAAGGTTTATCTGTCTGTTGGTCGGTCATTTAGAGGCAATCACGCTGATGATGATTGGTCAATCAATACATCTGATCAGCAGCACCAGTGGCCTGCTAAAGACCAGATCAAACATGTTAAGTATGCCCAAATACATAAAAACTTAAATAGCTGTGTACTCGTTTATTCATTTAAAGACCATGTCAAACAGATTTCTAGGACATACTCTGAAAGAAGAAGGTACCTGACCAGTTCACCTGCAGTTCTGACCATCAAAGACTCTGCAGAGTTCTGAGGCAAGAATGGGGCAAAGACTGCTGGACACTTATGTGTCAACAAGATGGGACTAAAACACACCTGGCACTTTCTAGCTTGGTGTATCCCTCAGAGCCATCACAACTGAGTAAAAAAATAGCATCATCAAAAACTGGCAAGTTTTATCATCAGAGCATTTTTAGAGTGTCTAACTGTCCTTATTTATAAAAGTGTTTTAAACCAGGGGCGACTGTAGAATCTGACCTCTAGGGGGCGCCTTTATCCCCCAGCACTGCCAATGGCTCTTGGCCTGAACAACACCGTGGCCATTGACATCAGAAGCATTTGTAATGTGTGTGGGGGGAGGTCTTCGGGTTCTCCCCAAGAAAATTTAGAATAAAGTAGATACCATTTCCTGCATTCTGGTGTGTTTTACCAGGTTGTTAAACATCTACAAAGTAGTTTTACCCTGATGCATGCTCAATAATCCAGGTAGAAAAATCTAAAAAAGTTAAATCTGGTCCTCTGGACATTCAAAAAAACAAAACAAAGCAAAACAACAAAAAAATGTAGAAACGTTTCGTCTTTCATCTGAAAGACTTCCTCAGTCTGAGGTGCTGTATTCAGCTCAGTCTTATAAATAGCACCTTCTCAGAGTGGATCAACCAGTTTTGCTGCTGACAACCGAAACCAGTTGCTCACATGATCAAGAAGGACCATCAGCCCAACGATGGATCATTAGCACACTAAACAGCCATCAGTGTGCTAATACCATACCACACCATTTTATTTATAGAGCACTTGAAACAGTGACAAGGCCAGCCAAAGTGCTGTACAGACAGAAAACCAGGCAACACAAAAAACAATATACAAAATGAGGTAAATCAGAATATAGACATAAAAACGATGCAGATAATAAATATGACGACTAACCAGTGTGGAGCATACAGGTTCAAAACACCGATCATCTGGTGTTGAAAGCTACTGAATATAGATCCATCGTTAGGCTGATGGTCCTTCTTGATCATGTGAGCAGCTGGTTTTGGTTGTCAGCAGCAAAACTGGTTGAGCCACTCTGAGAAGGTGCCTTTTATAAGACTGAATACAGCACCTCAGACTGAGAAAGTCTTTCGGATGAGAGACGAAACGTTTCTACATTTTTTTGCTTTGTTTTGTTTTTTGTCTTTTTTGAATGTCCAGAGGACCAGA